TGCCAGAATATTCGTCACTAGCTATTCGTCATAGCTAGAGCGAATTTAAGTGGAGGAGAATTGTGGTCACCGCCTGCTCTGTTCAAAAGTTCTACAATCCAGGCGAATGCCAAAGTGGTACCCGACAAAACGGGCCACGGGCTCCGCGCAATATTTCCTTACTCTCCCTAACCATTTCCTCATCCATTCCTTACACGCACACGCACACACACACTTCAATGCACAACACCACACATGTCGGGAGACCATTTGGGAACTTCAATTAGGTTTGTACCGTCTGGGGCGCTGCCCTTCTGGTGGGGGATGCCTGGTTGTGTAGGTCCGCCCTGGACTTCAATTTCAAGAGGGGGAACACCGCCACACTCCGAGGTATATCATATTTTCACGCTTACGAGAGACCGTATCAACTGACCCGCCCGAAAATAATCAACTAGTCCGGCCTAGTCCGGCGCAGCTCCGACCAGACCACACAACTGCATGGCGGTTCCTAAATACTTCAAAGCAGTACACGTCGTGTTCGATCGAAAAAACGACGTACAGTTATCTACGGGTTATCCGCGGACGGATTTCCGCGAACCTTTCTTACCACTCCTGATTCCCTTTGAACAATGGCGCTTACAAGTAATTCCATCTTGAAGATGAAACATCAGTCACAAGTAAAGAAGAGGTTTTTCGATTCAAAAAACTAAGACAGGTAGACAGTACATTTTGTTGGTCAAAAACAAGTAAAGAAAGTTGAAAATACTGAACTTTGTTTATTACGTATTTAACTGTAGGTATAGAAATTTTAATATAAAAACATGTTTGAAACATGTTTGTGTTATTGTTTCAATTTTGGAGTATTTCGCATTATCCGCCAAATTTTCTTACCCACTGTTGCTCGCCACTCCATTCCTCGGGTAATCAAGATTTTACTGTACTTGGAGTTAACACTTTGAATCGCTCATCAGCACCCCCTGTATTTTTCTGAGCTCCTCAGAAGTAATCGGAGTTAATTTGATGGAAACTACTCCATGCATTTTATAGTTATGTAAAAGCAAGCTAATGTACACACACACACACACATACAAGTCACATATGATTGCAATTAGCTTATAATACTACACTATTACACTCGTAATATTATACTCTAAATAAGTTTTCAACTCCTATCGTTTGGAAAGCATTATTCCAAGCTATAATGTTTCAGATGTCTATTATTTTATGAATAAATTAGCAAACGTAATAATGACAGTAATCACTTTAAAATATTTTTTAATTTATGCAATGATAATTGTACACTTTTTGCTTAATTCAAAATACTGTTTCTTTTTAGTCATACCAGAAATACATATGTGGCGAATATTCGATAGGAAAACAATATTAATTAACCATTTCTGTTGAGTGCATACTACTTTAATTACGTCGGTGGGCAGTCAACACAATTTATACTCGTTTTCATTAATTTACATTGTTTATCACTAATAAGAGAACTGATTAATCAAGCATCGATGTAACGACCAATAACATGTAAATGAGATTTTCAAAGGAAATTTTTCATTTTACATGCATTACCAATTAGCAAATACAAATTAAATATCAATAAAATATCATTAAAATATACATATGCGTAAAAGATGTAATATTTCATCGCACTTGAAATGGCTAAGGTGAATTTATTTGCGATAAGAAGGTTAACTCATAACTCATTCATTCTTCACAGAAAAAAAATCTTACACATTTCATATGACTGAAACACAACTCATATTAAAAATCAACAGTTTTAGAATATTTTAATTTAAATAACGCACCACTTTACATTTGCTCGCTTTCCACGTCATAACCCCGAGTTCGATTCCCGGTCGTGGCAAATTTAATTGTGCGCTTTCCTTGTAATGTCACAGTATCTGTTGCTGTGTAACGATGAGAAAGTTCACTTCTCAAGTTGAGAAGACCAGAATACGTCGTAGGGAAGGCCATGTGCTGCACACGTATCCCCTTAACCCCTGGCCGCAAGGCCGGCACGCCTCTGGTAAGCGTTAGCTCATAGAGTTGTGCCAAAGTACATACATAGTACATACATACATACATAGTACATACATACATAGTACATACATACATAGTACATACATACATAGTACATACATACATAGTACATACATTACATTTATATAGTGCCTATTATAGGTACTCGAGTTACACGTCCAATATTTTTGTGATGTCGATCCACTTTCCCCAATACAACAGTAGACGCAACACAGAAATGCACTTGTTCTGTGATATCACTCAGCGATTGAGCCACACAGGCTGACTGAAACGCATCTTCTTGGCGTTTAGTCTCACGTTTCATACTACATGTTTTTCCTGTCTCTACCGATAAAAGCGGTTTTTCAAGGCGTAGCAGATGATCAAAGGAAGACTCTGCCTCTGGAGAGAGAACGAGCAGAGAGTTCAAGTCGAATGCTGGTTTTCCCCACTGACTGAGACAAAACGGCAAGGAAGAAAGGACGCCGACGATTCGCCAAGAATACAGTTTTGAGAACGGTAAGTATAAAGATAAAGAATATGCAATTACACAAAAATTCAGTCTCTTTATCAGGAGCCACTTACATCTCACAAAACCATAGGCCCTTTGTGCAGCGTGTGCAATGAGTCAGAATAACCTCCGTAAACTGTGAGGGACTATCACAAAATTGTCATTGAAAACTTGTCGTCACAATCACTAATACCCCCTTAATGTTTTCAATGATATTAACAATTTATGGCGGTTAACTATTATTATTAATATTTTTATTATACTAAGACTTCTATCTCCATTGACTAAAAGGAATGATAGGAATATCGAGTAAAAAAATGTTAACGAAAAATGGAAATGTGTTATTCTTTGCCATTCCCTTTGTTTCAGCAGAACGCGCAAAGGCTTCCCCCGTAGCAGTCTGCTTTGTCTGTCTGCAGAACGATCATATTCATCAGATATACATTATTAATACCCATTATTACCATGCTCCCGAAATTACGCTACTAGACTGCAAAGGGGTGTTTGGAGGTGGAGTGGCAGCTGTAGCAGATTCGCGTCGCCCGTGAAACACATTTAACGTGAGAGCGATGGGCAGCTGCGTCGCTCAGCCCTTTCATTCCCCGTCCTCGCCGTCTAATTCGCGCCCCCTCCCCTCCCCTCCCCCTCCTTCCGACAGCGCCTCTTGGAATTACGCGCAAACGAGATCCGACCCCGCGCATCCCTCACAGCCAGCTCACGCTCCTCGCGGGAAGATCTGTCTGATCTGCATTGCCCCCTCTGCTCCGGCCCCGCCCAGAGCTCCCCTGGCTCGACA